ATACTTCCTCTTTGTTTAAGAAAATCAAATTCAAATTTATACATTTATTTAGCTGGTACATTTCAGTTTTGAAAATGGTTATTCATTTGTTTTTTTTTCCTCATTATTTTTTCTTTGGCATCGCTTATTACCGCACAATGGAAAACATGAAATATCAGTATTTTTACGAGTACTACTTCTACCATGCCACCAATGCTGCAGAAATAGCTCGAAGGATGATGTGTACGGCGCTGGTATCGCAAAAGAAAGCACAGTAGTACGTTTTTGGTTTCAGCGTTTTCGTTCTGGAAATTTCGACCTTCAGAACCAACCCCGTGGACTGCCGGAGACCAAAGTGGAAAATGAAGAATTAAAGGCTATTGTGGAGGCGGATCCATCACAAAGCATTGCATAGATAGCTGCAGGCTTCAGGGTATGTGATCAAAACTGTATTAATGCACTTGAAGCAAATCGGGAACTGTTGTGTTTCTTTGCACAACCGTCACAAAAATGAAGAAATTTTAAACCAAATGATTATTTGTGATGATAAATGGATACTGTACGATAATCGGAAGCGCTTGTCGCAATAGCTGAACCCTGGAGAAATAGCCAAATACTGCCCTAAACGAAAATTGACTTAGAAAAAGTTACTTGTGAGTGTTTGGTGGATTATCGCCGGTGTCGTTCACTACACCTTCAAAAATCTGGCCAAACGATTACGGCAAATATCTATTGTCAGCAACTGCAAACCATTAAGGAAGAACTAGCTGCTAAATATCCGAGATTGGTCAATCGCTCTAGGCCACTGCTGCTTCACGAAAACGCAAGACCACACACTTCACAACAAACAACCACTAAGTTAGATGAGCTACAATTGGAATTACTATTTTTTCCGAATTTGGACAACTTCTTACAAGAAAAAAAATTCAACTCCTATGCGACAGTCCAAACTGCCTTCAAAGAGTTTATTGATTCTCGCCCCCATGGTTTTTTTTTAGTAAGAGATCAACGAACTACCTATGAAATGGCAAAAGCGCATAGATAACAACGATGCATACTTTGATTAATTAAATATATTTTACAAAAAAAAATTGACTTTATATTCCTCCCGTACAAAACACCAATTTCATATGTAAAGACCTAATAATAATTATGTAGGCTATTTTAAACGTCGGCAAGCAGTCAACATCAAAATATTGTAACTTCTGTACTTAGTTACTATTATTTATTCTGTGCTCGTACTCTAAAGCACAGAATAGAATGCTCCTTTCTATAACATGCTAGGTGGAGTGACGACTTGATGCAAAAAATTTATAAAATGCCGGTTGGATCAAGTGACTAGTTGATAATGAGGGTATATTGAGAAACCCCCCACTCGTTTTTGCAGTATAAAGTTCAGTGTAGGGACAGAGCGCGAGAGATTCCGCTTGAGTCGTTTCACGAGTGAAGTCGTTCTACGCGTGCTAAGATAGTCGTTGTTCTGTCCATTCTGTCCATTGTGGTGATTCTTCTGGTGCAGACAAGGAGGATGTTGTTGCTGAGAGGCTGTGCTATGTTACGTTGAGATGGGTAAGGTTGCTGTTGTTTTGCACAATTTGGTGTTATCATGTAGTTGTATCCTTCACATTGCACTGGTGTGTAATTGTAATGGGGACATAATGCGGTATGGTCAATCTGTAATTACTCTTTGCTGAATGTATAGTGCGTTACGCTGTCCTATTATTGGTAATGATAAATTGCGCAAGCAAGAGAGCAAGTTGAACATCAGTTCTCACACTTTTACCATTTTTAATAATTAACGCTATGCTGTTACTTCCCACATAATTGGCTTATCCTGTTGTACTTTCCGACAAGTATTATAATAAATTAAAGGCTAAATATTGTCTTTCAAAATAAATAAATTTATTTTAAAAACTTGTAAAAATATTCAAAATGTGTTAAATAATAGAAATACAAGTCGAAAATATCATAAAAAGAAAGATAAATAACAAAATTTTCTTAAGTTATGGAGGATGTTCATATATAGCTTGTATAGAGGAGCTGCCGGAGACGCATACCCAAGGTCATACATATATATAGAGTGGTCGGGTGACCGACTGCTTGAAGTACTGTTGCACAATGACTAGTCCTATATTAGGGACTTTTTATAGTAAGGTCTATTATATTAAAGCATTATTAAAGAAGGTCTCTATGATGTATAAGCATTACAATACTAGAGATGTGGGTGTAAGTTCCGTATATTAAAGGCATATAATAGGTCTACGATACAAAATCATTATTATATAAGGTCTCTGTGATGAATTAGCAGTACAATAGTAGAGTTGTGGGTTGAAGTTCCATATAATAAAGACATATAATAGTAAGATCTATGATACAAAAGCATTATTATAGACGGTCTCTTTGATGCATAAAGCATATGATAGTAGAGTTATAGTTTGAATTACTATATATTAAAGAGATATAATAGTAAGGTCTATGAAATAAAGCAAATATGTGGAAGGTCTCAAAAAAGTAAAAGCATTATATTAATAGAAATGAGACTTAAAAAGAATTATTATAGTGGCGTGTATGCAGTTTCACGAGCAACTGAGACCGAGGTAAACTTGGAGTCGCTAACCGATGTGTCGTGTGTGTGTAGTTAACAACATCTTAGTGCTGGTGGTAAGCGTTTGGTTGTATCAACACGACTTTCCTGTGGACATCGCACACCCATACCGTTTGTGGGCGGCGTCGTAGCGTATATCGATGCCGATGTCTATCTTTCGGATTGGGATGAGTGTGTTTGGTAGCACTATTAAGTGCAAGCATACTCAACTTCATGTTTTAGTATGATACGTGGAGTTTGTTCCACTGGCGTCTTAGTAGCGAGCTACTATGATATATTGGTGCAGTTTTTAGTTAACAACATCTTAGTGCTGGTGATAAGCGGGTTTGTTGTAGCAATACGGTTTTCTTGTGGATATCGCACATATTGATGCTTGTTGCGTTCTGCAGCATTGCGTCTCTGCGATGGTCGTTTGGTGGGACGCTATTCTCAATGGCGCTTTCTGCGTCTTGGTTTGTCCCACACCTAAGTAGCTTTGCCCAAGTCGGGTCCCTCCATTACGTGACTACAGACTGTCGGACCTCCATCATGTTCTATATAACGAGGTAATAATATATCTCTGTAAGTTTCCCACCTTTGAATGATTGAAGGCAACTTGTATGTGAGTGAGATAAACATGATCGAAAATGCATTTACTCAACGTCAGTGACACAAACCCTTTCTGATGGAGAATTATCACTCTTAACTTATAACTGCCTTTTGGCTATATCTGCCGTTTTATTGTTTGGTGGAGCACATGTGTCGACCTCATGCGGGTGGTAGCTGGAAGGAGGATCTGAGGAGACCCTCAAGGCTGTGGCCGAAAGCCGAACAACGTGGGACACCATTCCCTTGAGGTGAGCGGTAGACTCATGACACGCTCTGCGGCTAGTAGTCGTGCTGATCATGCAATTAGTGTTGATGCAATACACTTACATCACGTCTGCAGGAGTGGCGGTCTGGCTGGTGCTGGCGCTGACTGAGGGCTTACGGCCAGTGTGCCTATTTGCCTAAACCGTGTTACATACATTCACTGTGGCTGGATTCGTTCGTATTCTGTATGGCGTTTACACGCATTGACATGCGCGACTTCGGTCGATGTTTGTGCTTACGCACTGCCAAGGGGCCAAGCCCTCTGTTACTGGTTTGCCAGTTATTTTGCTGTATACTACGGTCCGGTTTCTAATTTAGCGTTCCCTTCGGGGGGAGCGCATCAAAATGGTTGGCGCACGGCGTATGTGGAGCCGTGTGCCTCCCCCACAGTTTTTTAATAAATGTAGGAGAGCGAAACTCTTGTATCGAGTATTTTATAATATTTATTTCTACATATTGTGAGCCTTTCCCAATCGGGAAGGGATTAATAATAATAAATGAAAAATGTAAACGTGATACAAGTAGAATAGGGACGATTTTATGTTCTTAACCTTTCTAGAGCCCTGTCTTCGTAAACGGGGTTCATTTAGCTTATAAGGCACTACCAACAGCTTTCAATTTCTCTAGTGAATATTCATTCTTCCAAAAGACACCTAAAAGAACTAAGTTACTAAATAAACACAACGTAAATAAGGGTCCTAACTAAGACGATTACGCCAAAAATATTACAAACGGCGTATTATTAAACCTTTAGAAAGATAATTTAGAAAGATCAAAACTTATTTATTTATCCAGGTCACATATATATAATTTTATTTAAAAAGGGGAAATTAATTTAATTATAAATAATATATATATATATATATATATTAAGAGAGGGGAACGTTACACTATGTACAACAATGAAATTTTGATGGGATTTTTATGATAAAAGTGATGGTATGTTTAATAAGAATTATGTATTCAGATGTCATACTTCAATCCCAAAAACAGGTGAGTTTGTCTACGTGTGCGCTAGTTTCATCCCGGTTATAATTAGAGATGAAACGGATATCCAGTATTCGGTATTCGGCCTATCCGGCCTAAGTATACTATCCGGCCGGATAATGGATAGCTTACGGCTATCCGATCGGATACCAGATTTAAAAAAAACACTAAATATCAAATTTAGTTAAGTACTTTATTTATGTCACTTAACAAATATATTCAGTAATCACAACAAAATTAGTACTCGTACTGCGCTAAGGCACAGAATTAATAATGGTAAGTACTACGTAGCTAAAGGCAAATTGTGGTAAATACTAATTTCTCTGCATTGAAAGGTAACAAGCGATTTCGCCAGTCTTCATAAAGAAGGACAGCTTCAGAAAAAAGTAATTCGCTGTACACACTACTGCAGAGTGCTGAAAGATATGTTTTGGAAAATATCCGGCGATAAGATTGGCCGAATATTTGGTATCCGGTATCCGGCCAAAGAGCTATCCGTTTCATCTCTAGTTATAATGTATAAACTCAGTCGACAGCATTTTATAGCATTAAATTAATAAAAAAAATATAAACTTACTCCACTTGGTCCGTACGCATTATTGGGATCAATCCAGCCAATCGTTGGTTCATTATACGAAGAAACAACTGGAAATAAGATATTTGTTAATCATAAGATAAATTTAGCCATTCTCCTGTCAATGTGCACAGTTTTATACATTAGGTAACTAAATATTAAATTTGCATTATCTTTTACTTAGTATTGATCTTTGTATAAATATGGAAATATTCATGAATTAAAATTGTTTACAGGCATGTAAAAAATTGATACGTTTTGTTTGATTTTGTTTTTAAACGACAATAGCCAATTAAGATACGTCGTAGATTCGACTACGATTATGAAATGTTTCCTAGCGTAACCATTTAAACTAATATTAGGTAATAAGAATAATGTTGTAATGAACCTTAACGTATTTAATATAATAACTTTAAGATTACCTATAGCTGGCCTCACGATGCATATAGGTAAATTACAAGCTTCACTGCGAACAATTTCCTCAGCTAATGCTTTGGAGAATGAGTAGGTATTTGGCCAGTCATCCATAAGCCTGAAAATTCAATATTTGAATTCAAATTTCACCGTCCGCAAACAATTCACAATATACTGTGTGATAGTGTAATGGTTAATCATACACCCCAACTGTCTCAGAAAAACTATAACTATTATTAAAAAATCCATAGAGTGTCAGTGTCAGATTCGAAGCGTACGTACAGCAATGGAATGTGCAGGCTGATGATGATACAAAATGTGATGATATATTAGAAAGAGCTTTTCTTTATTTGCAGCACAATTGTGTTGCTTTGTTTTACATAAATATAGTAAACCATAACCCATATTGACAGTAACAAGGTGAGGCATTTTGATTTAAAATGTACTAGCGACCTGCCCCGGGTTCGCCTAGATGGGCTCTCTTAATGTGTCCGTTCTTTAGATTTAAGATTATCAAAGATCATTTATTTTAAGAGTTTTACGTTAATTAAAAAATAAACTTAAAAGTATAGCCTAATCATTATGTCTCAATGACATGCAAATAACCCCCTGAATTTAATAGGAGCCTGTTATACATATCATTAGTATTACTGTCAGATATTTCAATTATATCCTATACCTTTAAATGAGCAATTCTTGTATATATATATATATATATATATATATATATATATATATATATATATATATATATATATATATATATATATATATATATATTTCAAGTTCCCTTTTTTTATGAGAAAATCTATTATTTCGAGCCCTTTTTTAGTATTTTTTTAAAATACTAAAATGTTAATTGAACTAATTGCACTCATGATTTTTTATTCAAATAACTAGTTCACTTTTTTTTATTATGTCAATAAGATCAAAAATATTATTCATGTGATTAGTATCTAAATGTAATTTAAAAAAACCATTCAACGCTCGGTCATCCGGGTACTTTATAATTATAGATAAAAAGGTCTATAGTACCTTACCATCAGGTGGACGACGAACTCACTACAAGTGATTTTTTAAATTTTTGTACTAAAAGAAATCACGTTTTTATATTCCTACATTGTCATCCAATTCTGAGCTATGTATATAAAAATTTCAAGACTCTAGGTCTAGGAAATGCCAAAATTTGAGTTGCAAGACTGTATCCGGAACGACAGATAGACAAATTAACAAGAAAGTGAATTGATAAAAACGTGGTAAAAATTATAGTGTGTTTATTGATTCATTAATTACAACCCATCAAAAGCCTACTTCAAAGCGTATTCCTCCCCCATATACTATCATAATTACCATCAATAGTAGTATCCATAATCCATAATCACTCACGCCTGTCACTCAGAGGGGTAGGCAGAGACTACAGATTTCCATTTGGCACGATCCTGACACACCTCTCTCGCCTCCTTCACATCCATACACCTACGCATACATGCTCGTCGGTTAAGGGTACTCCTAATTTGGCCCGTTTCCAATAAGTCGCCAATTTGGTCGATAAATTTTCGCCTAGGACGTCCCTTTCCGACTCTGCCATTCACTTCTGCAACATAAATTTTCTTTGTCACTCTTTTCTCATTCATTCTTTCCACATGACCAAACCACCGAAGCATTCCTTTCTTAATCCTGGTCACAACATCATCTTGCAAACCACACACTTAACAGTAGTAGTTTTTTTAATATTAATATCTAGTTGACAAAAGAAATTATGTTGCTTTATTGCCTTTTTCAGTTTCCTCTATAGCCTATGACATAAGGTAGTATGTAGATTAATTTACGCTGCCATTACACGGCTTGTACAAATATAGTGTGTAAAGAAAAATTAATATTTATTAACAATTATTAACATACGTTTGAGCCATGGAACTTAGGTTCTTTTCATCCATGTTTTCAGCCAGTTCTATCATAACATTAGGCGGCATCGGACTTTCGTAAAATTGCTCTTTCACTGCTGAATCAACACGACTTTTGGTGGCGTGGGAATAAGCAGTTGAAACATGAACTATGGACCTGTTATAAAAATGGGTTATATAGGTACATTATAAATAAATAACTATGGTATATTAAGACGGCGATGATACACTGAATAAAACTTATTTTACGGTTTTCAACTGTTTTAAGTCCCGACGTTTTAATTATTTTTCAGTACCCATCACAATACGTCAGTGAATTGTGTGTTGGCTGGTAACCAAATGACAAATAAATCTTTATTGTAAACGTTTCTATTTTAATATGTGCATTACATAATGAGGCCTCCATACCATAGAACAATATTGCACAATACTTCTTACCGATCTGTTATCTTCCTAAAAGCGGGTAGGTACCATATCCTCTTTTTCTACTGCCTAGGCAGTAGAAAAGGAGGATATGGTACCTCCCACTATATGGAGGATATAGTGGCAGCAGTAGTGCTTGCACTGCTATGGTTCAGTCTGGAGGGTATAGAGAGTCAGTAAAAACTGCTAGATAAACTTTAATATATGATAGATACCCTTAAATTGTATATTATAGGCTCGGCATTCCAGTTTAGTCCCTAGAGATGACAACGCATCGAGCCTTCCTTGTTTGAAGTTGGTTGCAGGTGTCCATAGGTTACAGTAGCCACTTATCAACGGGTGGACTGTGAGTTCGTTTGTTAATTTAATTCTAAAAGAAACTCTCTTGGTTTTAATATTTTTAAAATTAAATTTGTAAAATTACAGTATTATTCAATTACGGGCACTACTTAGGACTGTCATGTGTGACGTGTTTGCTAAATTACGCTCCTCAGAAATAATAAAATTTAAAAGTATAATATAAACCCGGACTTTGGCTTTACAATCAACCCAAGTTTGCTACTGTTTGAGCGGAGGGCTGCGGATATTAATACAGCTCAGTGAAGCGTAGTTTTTACGTAGAGACAGCTGTTTGATTTGCAAATTTTTTAAATCTCTACGCCAGATAGCCGGCATCGAGAAAAGCAGCTGTTGCCAACGCGACGATCAATTGTTGTGAATCCTATTGGTTGGCAACCTAGTAACACGTACTATTTAATGTTCATGCCTGCGCTTTCCGATTGAAGGGATTTTACGAGTATATTTATAGTTTATTTATGAGATTCTGAAAAATAATGTTTTGTGTAAATAATATATTTCAATATTAATTAATATGTGACAATATCTTTATAAGTTCGTTTGCCTGAAGTGATGACACAAAATAACGATATATTTAAATAATATTAGTTTTTACGGATTTTATCGCGTATATTTAACTTTTTAGATACCCGACGTTTCGAGCACTTTACAGCACCCATGGTCACGGGGGAGATTGAGATATTCAACGTATAGATGTCATAGTTAACCGCGGTTACCATAGATTAAAATTATTAATTTTTGTTCCGATCTATTCGGTACGAACTTATAGTATCTTGAAATCTTGCAGTTGTATGCTTGGGTTGGGTTTTAATTTTAGTAATTATAGGATCACCAGTAGATGGTAGCACACAGCAATCTTCTCTATTGAAATCAGGCTGTTTTTGATTTCAATAGCCTCGCGAATTATCCTTGGAAGGAATCGGTGTCCTTTAGCGAGGATTTGTGGTCTATCAAATCTGATGTACATATATGCTAACGACTATATAATTAATATATATATTAAGACTAATATATATATATATATTAAGACAGCATACTGCACTATATATTCAGTATAGTGCATTTACAGTTCGATCACACCGTAGTACGTCCCCGTCAAAACCACACAGTAGTGTAACGTGAGGAACTTAAATACATGATAAAACCAAAGTATGCAAACAACAGCAACATTACCCATCTCAATGAAATATAGGGCAGCCTCTCAGCAACATGATCTTCCTTGCCTGAACTAGAAGAACTACTACAATGGAAACAACCACTCGTATAATGACTTAGGTTGAATCTCTCGCGCACTCCTCCATTTCCTGATCTACCCGCAATTCTACCCAGCCACCATCGATATGAGGCTCCATTAGAGTGACGAAACCTCTCACTCATGCATTCACATATTCATAGAGTACTATATAGACGCTCCGCCTAGCTGCATTAGTCTCCGAATATACAAATATTTATACCACTTCAGTATGTATTGTTATTTGGATCCTCCCACAAGTTGAAGATGAATGTGTCGAGCCTCAGTGTTTCCCGTTATGAACTACCTTTAAACACTCGTCGCTACCATTATTTATCTGATCTGAAATACTCTTCATTATGAATAAAAATACATCCTTTTGTCCTTTCTCTTCTAGCATTAAGAAACCCGTCAACGGTCATGTGCTACTCTAGCGTCTCCAACACTTCTTTTAAGTTTTTTGTTCAAGATTTCAAATGCATGAAATTTGATTAAAAGCATTCTCTAGTTGTCTGTCACGCTCTCTGAATGTCTCTAAGCGTATGTAACTTGCACATGGATGAGATCTTCCTGCCAGAAAATGTTGCTACCGTATCGGGTAGCCCCTCCATTTGAATCAAATTTAAGGACCATATATCCATGTTCAAGCTTTCTTGTGTTTAAAATATGTATAATCTCAAACTTCCCATAAAATTCAAATGGCAGAGTCCTAAAGCATATTCACATGCAGAAACTCGCCTTTCCCTCAATGTGTACATTTATAGTTGTATTTCGCGTAAAGCTTGTGTTACACTACCATCAAGCTGAGTAGATTCAGATTTAGAAACATATTTGGTTGTGTAAAATATTTAAGCTTCATTTGTCCCGCATTGCTAAATATCCATATTGAGATTTCAGTCTTTTAGAAGAGTTGGGTTATAATTATTCACCCATCCAGCTCTGATCTTCGCTTCAGTAAAGAAATCCTGCTTCAATTGCGAATAAATTCGTCTGATAAATGAGACACAATACGATAATTTCAGCGCATTTTTTTTTTCGGAAAACCATATCTACATGTTGATAATTCAGTAGCTTTTATAGTATGGGTAATTGTTGTATCGTTTGTGTAATTGATTTTTTACCAAACCATGTAATTTAGATGTATTTAGTCTCGGTAGATCACAATAAAATTTCAGCCTACTCAACCAGGATTTTGTACTAGACGTGGCTGTGAGCCGGCGGTACATTCAGTATGTAATTTTTTAACAAACTCTGATGAAAATGTACTTGTAAAGGTTGACCTAAGGAATGGTTTTAATTCTATCGATTGAATGACCCTGCTGAAAAAAATGGCTCACAATGCCCCCGAAATTTATCTTTACTTTTGACAATATTACAGTCAAAAATAACTTGTTTTATGAAAGCCATATTATCGATTTTGCTGCCAATGTTCAGCAGGGTAACCCACTAGCTAAAGCTTCTTTTCAGTTTGGGAATTTAACCTTTTATTTTAAATTTGAAATTTAAGCTGAATATCTGGCACATGAACGACGGTACACTACGAGGTAGAGCAGATGACATCCTCAGTAATCTTCCTCATATTTCTCTAAAATTTAAAATTGATATTGGTCTTGAACGAAATAGCAAAATGTAACTATTTATTTCTTATATTTATTGGGTTCTAACAGAGATTCAATTTAGAATTTTTATCATATATCTCCAGTTAAAAAAAAACTATCAGTGCAGAATCGTTATTTAAGCTAAGTGCCCGTTGTTTCTCGATAGTATTAAACATATTCTAATATATATATATATATATATATATATATATATATATATATATATATATATATATATATACGTAGGCGGTCCCATAATGAATTAGCCTAACTATGAACCAATGAAGGAAATGAAACGATACCAATTTTATTTTTCAATATAATCACCATGAATACTAACACACTTCTGACATCTGTGAATCAACATCTCTAAACCTTTATAAAAAATAATCACATTTTTTATCCTCAAAATGACTGAAGACGGCCGCCTGCAACTCTTCATCGTTTGAAAATTTTCTTCCTCTTAAGTCCCGCTTTAAATTTGGAAATAAATAATAGTCGGACGGGGCCATGTCTGGACTGTAAGGTGGATGTTGAACTTCTGTGAACCCGCATTGACGAACTGCATCCTTCGAAACACCAGCGGTATGAACAGGGGCGTTGTCATGGAGCAACAGGACACCTTTAGACAGCTTGCCTCTTCGTTTTTCCTTTATCTTGTCTCGTAATTTATATATTAAAGAAGCATAATATTCGCCGTTCACAATTGTATTACGTTCTTTAAAATCCACCATAAAAATGCCTTGAAAATCCCAAAATATTGTGCACATCAGTTTTTTAGTCGATTGTTGCACCTTTGCCTTTCTAGGGGGCTTTTTACCCTTATAACGCCATTCCATTGACTCGCGCTTGCTTTGTGGATCATAATACAAGATCATAGTTTCATCACCAGTCACTAGCCGCTCGATCACAGTCTTTGGATTTTCGCCACAAAGATCCAAAAACTCCGAAGCGCAGCGCACTCTTTCCTGTCTCTGTACCGCTGAAAGAAGTTTCGGTACCCATCTTGCACTCACTTTTTTCATGTGAAGATGTTCATTGATAGCGCGATGAACGGTACTCTTAGAGAGCCCAAGCCTTGCTGCAATTTCTCTAATCTTTAAACGGCAGACACTCAGAACCTCCTCTTCGATAAGAGCAATCGTTTCGGGAGTGAGCACTTCCACAGGTCGACCGTCGTGGCCAAAGTCTTCGACGGTTTCTCTCCCGAGGCGAAACTCTTTCACCCAATTTTTCACTGTGCTATAGGAGGGGGCAGACTCCTTATACACGCCATCCAATCGTTCTTTTATTTGGGCAGGGGATAATCCTTCTTTAAACAGAAACTTTATGACACTTCGATACTCAGTTTTCGACATTTTGAAAAAATACGCGACTCTCGTTATTCAAATGCCTGTTAAACTAAGACTAAGCATTTCATGTCGATGCATGTTTCTTATATTAAGTGCACGATAAACGTACTATTTAATGAAACACAACATGTAGCGACATGTCGCGTTGAACTATATCAGGCCAGTTCATTATGGGACCGCCTGGTCCCATAATGAACTGGCCTGATATAGATATAGATAACTGGCCTGAATATATATATATATATATATATATATATATATATATATATATATATATTATATATTGGACTCAAGCTACTTTACCCATAAAATATGGTGGATTTGGTGTGAGAAATCTTTCTGGCATTTTCTGCAATTGTGCATAGTGTTAGTTACTTATGTAATATAAATTTGAATAATAAAGTAGAACTGTGCTGTGTTGGGAAATCAAGGCAAACCTGGCAAATGCTCTATGCTGGCGAAAATGTTCCACTGTAAGTTACCCGACAAAAACACTGGGATATTCCATTGTTTCGGAGTGTGTAGAAAGATTTCCATAATGACCAAGATCGGACCCGCCTCCTAGCTGTTTCGACTAAGGAATCTATTCACTGATTACACATTTTATATCGAGATATATTTACAAAGTGTTATGTTTTAAAATATATACTTCAAATAGTGTAAATTTGTTTTAAATTTTATACAAACTAATTGATACGAGTACACTTACCGCAAATTTTTACAAGCTTTAGCTAAATGCAATATTTCCCTTGTTCCACGCACATTAGTCAGGGTAGCTATTTTAATTGTTTCGTCAAAGTTGACCGTTGCGGCAACGTGGAAGATAATATTTACCTAGAATTTATTTTTCGTTATTTTATTAATACAGTTATATTATAAGATAAGTAAAAAAATTAAACACGAAATTATAAACATCCTGATCCACTGCTGTGAGCATAAGCCTCTCCCATAGTACGATGGCTTTACAGTAGTCACCGCACCTGGCATACGGATTGACTATCGTAAAAAGAGGCGCTTTGTACCTTCGATGCTAATTTCTATCACAGTTTTAGGGATTTTTCATGTCGTATAAATATAAGTTCATCTATCCCATCTATCGAATGCTACAAGATCTTCTGTCCGAAAAATACATCTTACGACAATTACTCTTACTACTACTACTACTCTTACTACTACTACTACTACTACTACTACTACTACTACTACTACTACTACTACTACTACTACTACTACTACTACTACTACTACTACTACTACTACTACTACTACTACTACTACTACTACTAATACTAATACTAATACTAATACTACTACTACTACTAATACTACTACTACTACCACTACTACTACTACTACCACTACTACCACTACTACTACTAATACTACTACTACTACTACTACTACTACTACTACTACTACTACTACTACTACTACTACTACTACTACTACTACTACTACTACTACTACTACTACTACTACTACCACTACTACTACTACTACTACTACTACTACTACTACTACCTACTACGACTACTACTACTACTACTACTACTACTACTACTACTACTACTACTACTACTACTACTACTACTACTACTACTACTACTACTACTACTACTACTACTACTACTACTACTACTACTACTACTACTACTACTACTACTACTACTACTACTACTACTACTACTACTACGAGATAAAACTGTTGTTTTTTTAATCTTTTGCGATACTGAATCATTCAAATTATAAGTTAGATAAATATTTAAAAAGTTTGTGTTAAAGTACTATGTATTCTTTGTTCCACCTTCTCCTTAATGAAAGGAAAACTGTATTTATATCAGGCTTTTATGTTGAAGATCATATATACAATCATAACCAGGCATCTTTACATCTTGTCCAGATCGTTTCACACTAGATTTGAACTGAGGCTTAAAGAAGCTATAAACGTATCAAGTACTCAGAGAGGAGCACCAATCGTGCAGTGATCTTTGACCCATCCATGATAGACCCTACGTACCTACAATTCCCAATAGCCCAAGTGGGAGCTATTCTAATACTTAAAAGTTATGCTTGAATAAATTTCAGGCAACTTAGCAGTACTTTTAAACATTTTTTAACCTCAATAAATATACTTAAATGTAATGATTGCGATAAAATAAATTTATTTGATAAAACTGAAACATACGGACAAGAGTTACGTGAAAAATAAAATGCGAAAATAAAAGTTGGCTTGATAAAGAAGTCATAAATATTACATATGATATTATACTAAATCTCTATTTATACTTGTACCTCACTTATGCCTGTTAAGTGATAGGACTCCTTCTCTACCTTGAAATTCCTCTGGATAGGTACCACTCTCATACTTACTTCTGCCACCAAATAGCAGTGCTTGCACTGCTGTGTTCTGGTCTGAAGGGTATTATGATAACCAGTATAATTAGATGCAGTAAAGCGTGCTTACTTAGTCCACAAAAGTGACAACGCATTTGCAGCCTTCTTTGTTTAAAGTTGGCTGCAGGTATCTATGGACTGCAGTAACAGTACAGTACAGTACAATAGTAAGTTCGTTAACAAGTTATATGAAATGAAAACGCTTACTATTATAAAAAATGGAACAGTTCAAGCGTTTGCGGCTGCGCTCGGCTGTATCTTTTTTGTTCTTAAATTCTTAATGCTTTATTACTAAATTGTTTGGCAATATCGGAGTGCGAGGTAAAATTTCATATCTACATACTGTACTACCAGAGGGCCTTAATATCACGTTACATTACCTACCTGCTCAGCTAATGTGTTCCAGTCGGTACTGTTAAGACCAAGTCTAATTTTGCTAACATTTCCTTCCACTGCCAATACATTATTCACGAATTCTGGCCTATGTTTGTGCAAACTATCGAATACCTGTCAAATTTAAATAGTGTAACATATTAAATCGGTTATTAAAATATAAAAATTAAAACTAAAAGTGAAACGGATACTAACCGGATCCATTAGAATATCCTTCGCCCGATGCTGTGCATTTTTATCTTTTTTCGATCTCAACAGTAAAAATACTTTGTTGACATTACAAGACCTTTTGAAAAGAAACATATTATAAATATCCAATAAATAGTTATTATAAATTTCATAGATATGTAATCGAGATCAATTTCATATTCATCCTGTTAAAAGAATCACACCTGTGCCCAAGTTTGCTCATTACTAAAAGGGTTTTGGAGCAAGAAAACGTCCGACGTGCTGCCCCAATATCTGTTGGGGGACTTCTCATGTCCTTGGAATATTTTTTAAAATATAAGACATCCAGGTTTACTTACGATGATGTCTTACACCGCTGAGTACGTAGATAATCAACGCTAAACATTGTGATCTACAGTTTTATTGGTGCTGGCGGAGATCGAATTTGGATGCGTGTGAACTTTGAAACACCACCACAACTGAATATTTATTTGTAATCATGATTACTTATTTATTTAATTTATTTTTTCTTGAATTAGGTAATAAATTTTCTTTTTATTGATTTTGTAATAAGTTTCAATTTTTAACCAACTTCAAATAAGAAGCAGGATTCTCAAATCGTCTGCATATGTGCTTTTATGTATGTTCGGCTACAATTTATTTGCTTATAAACTGAATTGAATGATTCTTCAATATTTTATTAAGTAGGCTATACTTCAAAATTATCCCATATATTTAAAAAAATCCCCCGTAAAAATTCCGACGATGATATCTTTCTTACACAGGAAGATCCCTTCCCCTGCTCCCTTCACAGTAGAGGGAATCTGATCACATCTGACACACATTCCCATTTAGATATAATATTAGTACAGAACACTAGGGCTCTTCGCGTTAGCTGGTGAACACGAGGTCACGGACACACCCCGTACACGAATTTCAACACCCGTGATACGAGTTTAGTTTTCCGACCCGTTTCCCAAATTTCGATGGTGGTTCAGGCCGAGGTTCGTACCTCCGTCTGAGGGGTCCTTGAATTACATCGAGCCGCCCCCTAGCTCGAGGAGCCTCACTCCAAAAGCAGGGACCAGGGTGTCTCAGGAATCGTAGCACTCAATAGCTAGTAAGTCCTCGCTCACGAGTCTATTCCGATGAAGCTGTAAAGGCCGCAGGGCCAACACCATACACTTTCAAAAAAAGCCTAATGGTGGAAATATAGGGGTAACGTATTTAATGTAACTGTTTACACGACATTCAGGTTGTTACCTGACCTTGTGATATTCCTTAGATTACCCAAAAGGGTAAAAGTGCGGTGAAGAAGCTATTGTGTAAAAATGTTATTATTCTTTTAAGTTTTTGAAATTGGTCTTTAATTATTCTTTTTTTGTTCATTTTATTTAACACTTGACACATTTTTCATTCACATTTTTATTTGAAAATGTTTAGATGAGTTCTTTTTAATTTTCCCTGAATCAATGACCTTCATATTCGAAGTTCCCTAATACAAGAAACGTTAAAATAACTTACTAGAAAACTCCTATAATATAAATGTGAAATGATAACAAATATAATTAAAAGCGAAGTGTGTGAAATAAAAGGAAACATTTTGTATTTGTATTTCTAATCTTTTACCTGAACAGTTTCTCAACTAGAAGTTTTCCGAGAAAACCCGAGCCGCCGGTAACAAACACTGTGGAGCCGGCATAAAATCTTTCTATTGAAGAGTTTCCACTTGCCGTTATCGCCGCCATCCTATGCTGACGCATCAGTGCTTCCTTTTCCAAAGCAAACATTACTTCCATGTCTGTTACCGATAAAAAAGCGAAATAAATATATCATCTCTGTATTATAAAACTATAACTAGACGAATTTAAACTCCGATAAGTGTTGAGATGTTATTTGCAAATTTTTGGTTGATATTTTTCGAAAAGTACGAGACAAAATAAGTTTTTTATTAGATAAGATTGCTTACCTACCTAACCTAGCTACCAAACCAAATACCAAGCTTACCAAATAGTTTTTTTTTTCGAAATTTTATTATATTATATGTTATAGTTTAAGTGATGATCATCAAAAACTAAATACGTATTTTATAAATTATTTGATTTCACAAAAGTAATCCTCCTTGTTTTTCAGAAATGTAACCCGGATCACTTCTGGCATTGCTCTCTACCTGTTTGTGTTGTTTCATTAGAATTGGCTCAGCTATTCTTAAAATAAGCCAGAACAGATAGGCAGACATTCAGACAAAAAATTTACAAATGGTTATTTATGTCTTAGTATTATGAAAATATCCCCTGAGCTCAATAGAGGGAAGTAACTTCGATATTACAGACGGACACTTAAATTTTATTTAGACAGGATTATTTTTCAAAGAGTAGCCAAATTTTGTCACCGAGATCTACTCCAGCAACACGATAACCTGAAAACTCTGCCCTTGAGCCTTATTAATTATCATTGCATAACACACTGATACTGGGAATTGCGTTCTTTTAAATTGGAATGGAAAATTATTTGGTATTATGGGAATTCTCGAAATAAAGACGGTTTCTCCTGCACCGAAACCTGTTAAAATTTGAGCCTCGATTATATTTTGTTGTAACTGGGTTACTTTTAGCCAAGTTCCATTGCAAAATTGTGGTGGTCTTAAATTTCGGAGCAGAATAATCGGAATGCCAATTTTTAAACAAATTTCAAGAGAAGAAAGTCCGGGCATATTTAAAGAATTTAAAAATTCTATCGGGTAATTAGTGGCTTCTTGTTCATCGACCATTCTATTTATTGAACTATAAACTTTACTTTCCCCTGTATATTCGACAGTATTTTGTTATTAATCTCAGATGCCTGGTCATTTCGAGGAGTTAAATTGTTACGTCACCGTAAACCGACGATATAAGATATGGTTAGAATATGGTAAATCTGACCTTGTATCTTAAAAGTAGGCATGAAAGGACCTTCTGGGATTTGTTGTGCACCAAAGGATTTCATTTGAAACGCATTATTATAAGTGCGAATATTGTCTAAGATCTGTTTAGATTGTTGTTTCCCTAAAAGTAGTGACTTCAAAGGTTCCGATGGATCTTCGAACGAAGGCAAACTTATTTTACCTCCAGAACAACAGAAACCAGCCGACTCCTTACTCCACTTTGAAACATTACAAAAAGAACATACTGCGTTAATATTGCCTATTACAGAAGATGATCTGCAATCAATTGTGAGGTTATAAGTAAACCCACTTTTATATTTGTCGGACCACGCCACCAAATTTGTAGATTGATCTTCTGTGTGTACATCAAAGTCATTAAGACTATGTTGAAATCTGTGTGCAGTAAGACGGGCCTCTTGCTGTTCGTCCGTTTCAAGAGACCGAATATTTTCAATTCTTAATCTTTCATTAGACAAAGTTATTAATCGTTCTTGTCTCAAAGAATTGTAATATTCGCGTCCCGACTCTAGTCGTTGTTCATGCTCATGTTCATCTTCAAGAGATCGAATAATATTATGGTGCACCCTATCATTTGTCAAACGGTCTTTATATTGAGTAAAAGTTTCTGATTCTCGAGATAAAATATGACTTTCGCGATCAGCTGTGAGACGTAATTCCCTCTCAGTGTAGGTTTCCGACTCGCGAGATAATGTATGCCGTTCGCGGTGAGCTGTGAGCCGCAATTCTCGTTGTGAAGCAGTTTCAGCTTCTCGGGATAACACATGTTGTTCTCGGTCAATGTTAAGCCTTAACTATCGTTGAGAAGAACTTTGAGACGCCCGTGATGTAGCTCGTCTCGCTCTGTCAGCTGCTAATCGCATCTCTCTTTCTGGAGAGCTTTCATAGGCTCGAGAAGTTGAGGCAATAACTCTCATAGAGTTTAACCGATGTGCTCTTTCCTCTGCCGATTCTTGAGAATGCACATTTCTCATTCTCTTAGCTTCTCTCGAATTTCGAGATAAACATAATCGGTTTTTAGGTGGCATTGTGTATTTTATTTTTAATCGACGGCATTCAGTTACACAGCAAAATAATCTACGTTACGTCCTAACTATAGCTACCATAAACTTAAAAAAATCTAAATGCCTACTTAAATAATAAAACGGATCCTAAATAAATCCTTAAATCCAAAATTAAATTCTTAAGAATGTATAAGTAAGTACCTAAACTACGTCTAATAGAATGAAATAACCTATTTGATACCTAGATACCCATTTAAAACTACAGCTAAATAAAAATAAAAAAGTTAAATTTATAATTAAGCTAATACTAAGAAATATTTAAACACTACCAAAATAACTAATACCTATTTTATAAAATAACAACCAAAGAAATCTAAAAATAAATTATTAAACGTAAGAGTAGACTAAAAGTCGCGCTGATGAGCACGGTTTGTTAAAATCAATTATTGTCTGTCAATAAGGTCGAACACTCTGAATGTCTATTCGCATCAACAGCCAAATATTGTATGAAGCTCGCACTTTTTTTTTGCGCCCTAAGCAAATATGGGTAACCCTCCGGAAAGCAGGGAGGGAGGTGGGGAATGCTCATAGCATACCTCGCAGCCGGCTGCGTGGTTATGTGGAGACTTTTACCCACTAAACCCCACCTTTAAGGATTGGCTTACCGATCTGACGAGAGATTTCTAAGCCGTACGAGGGGTGATCCAAAAGTAATCATAATCGGTTACTTCAGGTCCGCATAAAAATCCAAAGGAGTATATATTATACGTATACGAATGCGGCCCTCCTTGGCAGAAAGGAGGGCGCAGGCTCGCACTCGGACCTCCCGCCTTTTTATACCTCCCGCCGCGAGCCGCGTCGAGCGCGGCGACCGTTACACAAAAATAATTCTTATAGCATGATTCAGTATTCACGCGCGACAGCTTATTAGCGTATTTCATGTATAACTTTGGTGTTTCTATACCGATTTCTATGATTTTTTTATTGAATAGATAATAATGTTAACTTTTTTTAATTAGGGATGAGTGAGAGTGTTATAAACGTAAGAGTAGACAAATATAATCAGAAAGCTCCTAACTGCTAAGCTATCGGGAGTTACACGTTTTATTGTGAGTCAACCGTAAAAGATAGACATATGCTGATGTGGGATATTTTTTATATAATTTTAAGTAGATCATTTCCGCTATACATAATTTCTGTGTAGCTTTAACTATTAAGGCTGCACACGCGACGGAAGCTTAAAAATGGAGTAATTTCTCCCGTTTCCCCAACATTTCCCTTCACTGCTCTGCTCCTATTGATCGTAGCGTGATGAAAAGTATACTATAACCTCCCCAGAAGTATGAAGAATGATTGTATCAAGTTTCGTTAAAATCCGTCGAGTAGTTTTTGTTTCTATAACGAACATACAGACAGACAAAAATTTTACTGTTTGCATTTTTGGCATCAGTATCGATCACTAATCACCCCTGATAGTTATTTTGGAAATTTATTTCATGTACAGAATTGACCTCTCTACAGATTTATTATAAGTATAGATATATACTACGGAGCCGACATTGGGAACATTTACATACAAAAACTGTGAGCACACACGTGAGTAAAGCCCTCTAGCGAAAAATTGCAATACTAAGCTGAATATTTATTTGGAAACCATTTTACCTATTCCCCTTTACGTGACGCTTCTAAATAAAAAATCGGTACTAGGCACGTCGTCAATTACTAACATGTTTTTGAATAAGTAGTGACGTTACTGGATAACAGAGGGCACTTATTACAATAATTTTTCGTTCTTCTGGAACAATCTACCAGAAATAATACAATTTAAAGATTATTTGGTAACCATACATTTTTATTAGGATAATAAACCGAAATCATGTTCATTTTTTGCTTCATATCGTGACTTACTATACCTTAATGCACAACTGGGCATATTTTCTTTAAAAATATTTTTTAAATTTATGAAATGAATGTGTCTTGATATTTCGGTGATGTTACAGACGACAATTTTGTTGCCGATGTACGGTCTATTACTACTGCATACTTAAATGTCTTTGTATACCGTCAAAGAGATTTAAATATATATAATTACATACTTAAATGTCTTTGTCTACCGTTATTGCAGTTTTTGATATTACGAGTGTATAAGGCTTCTATTTTATTTCGAATTATCACAAATTTAATGTGATTTATGGGTAACAACTGTTTTGCCTACCGACCAACCCTTATGAATGTGCGTGCGTGCGCAGTAAAATCTTTTAAAATAATGCATCACCACGCAATTTTAATTTAAAAGATAAATAGGACAGAATCTTTGACATTTTTTGTAATAAATTTTTATTCACTATTTGCCTATATTACTTATTCTGAACCTTCCCTGTGAATTTGGCCAATCATTGCAAAATGACCCTGTATGTTTTTAGACGTATACCAATAATTGAATAAAACTAATTTCATTGTTTTTAATTTTACTATTTCTAAATTACCTATACTATTATTTTAAGTGCGTGACAACATCTATGACCAAATTCATAAAATAAGTTTCATGGCTGTTAAAAGACTGTCATTAATATTTATTCGACTTTTAGTCGCAACTCAAAGTAGACAGAAAAATCTATAGAAAAATTGACGCCTTCTTTCGCATTCGCACACGAAAAAGATAGATTAATGCATACTTTATGATTCTTGCATAGAAATGAGACAGAGTGGTGTAATTGTTTGTGCCTTTCTCCGTGACGGTTTTTTTTTTGTTTAGCAAACTACACTTTGCTAAATAACTTTGACAGTTCGTAGCGATCTAAGGAGTTTACAAGTTGGTTTAAGTGAGAAAAAAGTGTTTCGTGAGTTTAAGATT